TTTTAAGATTTATTTATTTATGCATACAGAACTGGGGTACAGGCCAGAGGTGTGGGGGTGAGAGGATTCACCAGAGACAGAATGGGAAGCAGAACAGTCATATCTACTGAAATACACCGCTGAGGGGAGCAGCCGGGGATCCAACTCCTGCTGTAGTGGCATTGGATTGTTTTCATAGTGCTGTGCTTTAACGTGTTGTGCCACCAGGGAAGGCCCTCTTTTTGGTTTTAATTGCTGAGATGAAATAGACATTTACTACTTTGGTACATTAAAATATTTGGGAGCAGTAGGTTAAGGTACTCAAGCTTTAGAGCTGCATCTGGGTTCTTTTCCATAATTGGAAATGGTACCCACAGCACAGTAGAAGGAAGAGCTACATTTAATTTCCCTTCCGTCTCCCACCCCATCTCTCACTTCCTATCCGCCCTTCTCTGCATGAAAAGCAGGCACAGTGAGGTGTTTGCGGGAACCATCCATGTGATCTCAGAGTCACCCTGTTTGCACCCAAAGTGGTAAATATGGGAAGTTATGGGCCTTACAATTCTGGACAGCATGAAGATTTCTGCTGTCTGCGAGAAAGAGATCCACTCTGCTCTCCCTGAGTTGATTTTAAGAATGATGATCAAAACCCTGAACCATTTTTAATTGCTGCTATCCATGAATAAAGAAAAGTTCAAAAACAATCTTAAAAATTCACAACAGGCTAAGCTAAACTTTTTTTATTGAAACCAACCGGATTTGAACAATGAAAAGGAGCCTCTCTTATTATAACCTGGGTATAATTTAAGAAAGTGTAGATCCTAGTTTCACATCTTCACAGTGAAAGTTTCAGCAAGATCAGATGCAAGACAAAAACCAAAAAAGAAGTGGACATTTTCAGAAGCACCGCTACAAAAAGGCAGTTTCTTCCTCTCCCAGTGTATTCTAGCCCTCAAAAGGGATAGAGAAAATAGGGCAGAACCAGCTGCCTCATGGACTATCTTTTGCTGCTTCTGATGGCAGCTGCTGGTTCCCCAGGGGAAGGCATTTCCTGGGTTTTGAAACCAGATCTGTCATTATATAACATCTGTGCTCTTGCGCTCAGTGCCTGGCATTAAATCTATTGAATAAATGAGCGAATAAATGTAGATATAACAGGAGGAAGAGTAACTACGAAGTTAGTTGTGTTATTGCAGGTGAGGCTGTTTCCTTCTGATAACTTCTGTGCCTCAAGCTTTGCAAACCTCCTCCGCCTCAGACAACCTTTGCTGTGATAGTATGTGATAGAATATGTCACACTTCTGGTGTAAGCCAAAGGCGCACTTGACTCCCGGTGTCCATCCGTCACGCTTCATGTGGGTGATGCAGAAGCTGGTCTGCATGGTGTGATTCAGGCTATGCTGAAAGGACCCTGGACAACTCTTCCACCAGCTTGCCAAACTGCCCAAATGCTCAAATTATATGTTTATTACTTGGGTTTAGACTGACTTTTCTAGAAATTCCTTGTAGCAAGGAATTTTTTCAAATAGGCTAAAAATACATTTTAATAAGGTGAGGCTGCATTACTGCTCCATCTCAGAAAAACTCCAGAGGTATCAGGGACAAATCAAACATGGTACACCAATAAAAATGCACAGCCTAGCTACCTAAAGATAGGTAAGGCTAAGAGCTACTGTCTGAACTTCAATGTACAGTAACCCTGTCCCAAGATTGTACTAGGCCTATCAAGAAAACTGTGATCAACAACATTATAGACACAAAAGGGCAATTTCTGGGGTGTCCTTACTCAAGAAAAAGATGGAGGCAAGTTAACACAAGATTTACTAAAATGAAAATCTCTAAGAGAAAGTGTCTTCTTTAGGACACAAAGGGGGTAATATATAGGACATAACAGAACCATATGCATATTATCTGTGACCTCTGTGGACATTTGCCTGAATTCCCACCTGGGAGTGAGCAGAGCGGTGGGGCTGAGGCAATTGGGGGATGTTTGGTTTTTGTGGTATATGTGATAGTATCTTGGGGGTTGGGGGTATAAGAATGAGAAAGCAAATGAAACAGGATGGACAAAGCATGGAATGACAGTTGGATTGGTTGTCTTCTGATTAGCTAATCTTGAACAAACTTTAATAGCTACAGGTTCATGGTACTGATGTGAGTTGAGTTTTGAGAAGTTAGACTTGAGCCTGAACTGTGCGTGCACAGTCTAGAAGGGGAGGTATCAGAGGGCAGCAGGAGGGTGTTTGGAGGAAACGCATTAATACGAAAAGCCTTTTGGGTCCACAGAGCCCCTACTCAGGGACTCACCTGCTTTTTTTTTTTTTTTTTAGGATTTCAATGTAATAAGTGATGTGGGCCACTGAATGATGAATGAGGCTATGTGTGTCAAGTGCTTAGCCTGATGTGAACACTTAGTAAAGTATATTATAGTAATAAAGTAAAGTAAAGTAAATTGCTATCATGATAGCAACCAGGTTTCTGGAAGCTTCCAAACCCTGGCAGTCCATTCTGAACACCTTAGAGTTTTGTGATACTTTAACCTAATTCTTCTGTACAGAGTTGTTTTCATAAATGAGCCTGGCTAGGGGATAAAAACAATAGACCAAATAACTCTCTCGTCACCTCTCTGATACCATGTCTCACTTTCTGTCTTGTAGTTAGGCATTTCTAAACATGTGGTAGAAAACTGTCTTTCTGCTTGATTTGTTTTTGTATCTTTTTTAGTCCCCCAAAGTGCTAAGATGGCTGATCAGGTCATGAACAGACTAAGTAGTATTGTTAACATTGTCATTAGACTGCACTTGTTGATTGATCGATTGATTTAAATGAATAGGAAAGAATTACCTATTGAATAATATCAGGAGTGATCATTCATTGATGAAAGAGCTTTAGTTCAGTCTGGTAGCTGCTGCTGTGCAGAAGGGAGGTTTCTAGCCATGCACTAGGCATGTGCTTCTGTGGTACTGACCATCCAGGGTTAAATGACAGACCAAAGGCTGAATTCTTGGGTTGGTTTCTGAGGCTTAAATTTAAATGAATGAACTTAAAGTATTATTAATAAAAATGTCTAAGGAATTGCTCACCAGGAGTTACTCTGAAATAGACATGGGCCTAAAAGGGTGGTCTCGGGAGTAATCCTGGTTTCCTGGACTAGCAGCCAAGTGATGAAGGACAGCTGAGGGAGTAGTACAGAATGGGGAGGCGGTTTGCCACACTTTCTGTGTGAATGGTGTCTCTTGGAGGTTACAGGAGTAGGGGTGGGGTAGGGGCTTGGCCAGCCCTCAGCTTCCTTTTCTGTGAAATGGAAACGGTGGTACCTTGATGGGAGGAGTAATTGCATTAACGTATAGCAAGCCTGTGTGCCAGATCTAGGAGCAGGGCGCTCGCTAAAGTTAGCTGTCGCAGTTACTTCTGATGGCAAAGGAGGGCATAGGCGTGATACGGAGAGAGTAATCCGCTATCTAAAGTATTATTCAGGACAGTAATGGGCTGTAATCATTCCTGTTATAGTAAATTTATCAAAAACCTCAACTAGATTTTATTTAGAATCTAGTTGTTTGCTAGAATTTAGTTCATTAGGTTGCCAGGAAGAACAAGATTAAGGAAACTTCCAGGTATGTTTCTTTTCCTCTATAAAAACACAGCCCTTTGGACTCGGGGGTGGAGGGTCGAAATAATAGTGAACAACTATAGACCAGAGACATTTTACAGGGGGGGTGGTGGAATGGGGAATGGGATAAAAAATGAGGGGGTGTGGAGAAGGGAAAGTGCACTGGACTACTGTGATGACACACGGGTGATTTGGTGATGGGAAGTCCATGGGGATTACAACTGAGATGGAAAAAGGTACAAAATGATGTAAAAATAAGCTATTATATTTTTAAAAAATCCCACAGCCCATTGTAAAATGTGTATTCCATGAAAAAATAGATATGATTTTCTAAAGAATTTCTAGTTCTTTAGATCTGAAATAGCTGCCTGATTCAGTCATCAGAATCCTTCCCTGGTGCAGTGGCACTGAAGTTCTGTGCTGGCTAGGGGTGCTGTGTCTAAGTATTTCTCACTTTTTCCTGTTTCATCTTTTGTCTTATTTTAGGTTGTTTATGATGCTAATACACTTTACATTTTTGCACCTACTGCACAAAGCAGAGACCGGTGGGTGAAGAAGTTAAAAGAAGGTAAAACTCATATATTGAAATACTCATCTGTATATCGTTTTATGAAACGTTATCACTAATCTAGAAATATAGTCAATGTATTGTGCATTTATAATCTTTTAATCTACTGTATGCATTTCTCCAGGGACATTCTGTTACTGAAAAGTAAGATTCTTTCAAGTGAAATATGTACAGTTTCTAAGGAAAGGATATTTTCATTTAATATGTAATATATTTGAAAATGATAATGTACTGGTCTTTTATGATAATCAGATTTGCTGTTTTCTAAGAAATTGCCTGTGTGATGATAACATTTTCTGGGATGGCTTGATTCTTGCATAAACTGTTCACGTGGATGGTTTGTCCTGCACAGCTCTCACCTCTGCTGCAGACTAGCTGACTCTGTGTCTTTCTATCACAGTGTAGCAGTCACCTCTGAACAAGGGTGCTTCACTAAAACAACACAAAAAGCAGATGAGTGAGAACCATGTGACTATTTAAATGCTAGGTTGTTCTCAGAATAAACTCAGTATCTGAGGAATAAGGCGTGATTGACAGTGTTACTTATAAAACAGTCTGTTGTCTTCTTGATTTCACTAATCCTTTGATGTGTGTGAATTACAGAAATAAAGAACAACAATAATATTATGATTAAATATCATCCTAAATTCTGGGCAGATGGAAGTTACCAGTGTTGCAGACAAACTGAAAAACTTGCACCTGGGTGTGAAAAATATAATCTTTTTGAGAGTAGTAAGTATTCATTTTATTCCATAATTATATGGTAGGAAGGATGTACATATTATTGGTCTAGCCAGAAAAGTGATATGACTTTGATTTTAGTTAAGTGTGGCTTTCATACTTTTTAAACAACATAAATGTATTTTTGTAAAAATAATTATTTTTAATTAGCAGTGGGACTGTCTCATGAAATCAGGTTTATTTTCAGGAGCTTTTATCACAATGTGGAAACCTGCTAATGGCTCTGTTACAAGTGTGATCCTATTAAGCAATTTTTTTCTTTATTTTCCCGGCTTTGCTGAGATATAGTTGACAAAATTGTAAGATATTTATAGTGTGCAACCTGGTGACTCATGCATTGTGAAGTCTCCACTCATCGAGTAGTTCACAGATCTATCGCCTCATCTGTTTAGCTGTTCTTTTTATGAAACACTTCATTCCTATTCTCTTAATACATTTCATTTATACTTTACAGTGTTATCAGCTACAGTCACCATGTTGATCATTTAAACTTGAACCTTATTCATTTTTTAAATGGAATTTTCTTCCTTTTATCAATTTCTGTATTTCCCTTATCCTCCAGCACCAACCCCGACTTTTCTACTTTTCTGCTTGCTTTTTCTATGAGTTTGACTTTTTCTTTTTAAAGCTTCCATGTATATGTAATGTCTTGCAGTCTTTGTCTTTCTCTGTCTGACATTTCACTTACCATAATGCCCTCCACATTCATTCATATTATTGCAAATGACAGGATTTTGTTCTTTTTAGGGTTGAATAGTATTCCATTGTATATGTACACCACATTTTCTTTAACCACACTCCCATTGATGGACACAGGGTATTTCTATTCCATGGCTATTGTGGATAATGGTGCTAATTACATGGGCGTATTGACATCTGTTTGAAATGATTTTATTTTCTTTGTCTATATACCCAGAGGTGGATTGCTAGGTCATTAGCTCATATAGAGGACATTTCAGAGTAACGAAAATGTTCATTTCTTGAGGAACCTGTACTGTGTTTGCACCAGTTTGTAATCCCACAAGCACCACGTAAGAGTCCCCTACTGCAAGAGCTTCTAGCTCTGGGATTTTTTTTAAAACATTTATTTGCATTTATTTTATTCTGAATTTATTCTTCAGCCATAAGTTTTTGTTTTTTGAGTTATATTTGTTGTTGCCATTTTCAGGTATAAGAAAAACATTGCCTCCAGCACCAGAAACAAAGAAGGTAGGGTTTTTGGAAACGTTTGCAGTTTAGTGGTGCTTTATGCTCATTTACATGATGCTGCTTTTTTCCCCAGGAGTGTATCAGAAATAGATATATGACTTTTTTTTTCTTTGTGTCAAATAGTAATCAATTTAATTGTATCATATAGTATCAATCAGGGCCCTCTTACCATCTGGTATTTTGCTTTTATTTTTGCCTAAAGACATGTGTAAGAAGTATGGGACTACAAAGGTATGCCCCAGTCTTTAGATCACATTCCAGTGATGAAGGGTGACTTCAGTGATTGATAATGTGTTTGAAGGGTAAAGAATAGTGGAAAACACACGTGCTTTAGGACCAGACAAGATTTGCTATGAGTGACTTGGGTAGCTGCTTCAGTCACTGTGGAATTGTATACTCTATGGGTCAGTATTCAGAAAAAGTGTGGTTGGAACAAGGGGTGGACCTTGCTCGCAGTAGGCCCAGACAAGTGCATATCTCTCTGGATGGCAGGAGACCTGATAGAAGACGCCACTACATAGAGAGCTTTGCCACTGTGGCCATTTCAGGCCATCTGAATGCCTCCTTCAGGCCTCCTGGTGTCTGCGCACAGTGAACACCACAGAAGCTCACTCATAGGCGTGTACTCCACGTTAACTTAGGGGCAGTTTCTCCTGTACTCCAGGGTGTTGGGGAATTGTTTAGAATTTTACTTTGCACTCCCTTTCAAACAAGAGCCTGAACTTACACATTATCTTCCTTTCTTAGCGAAGGCCTCCCCCACCAATTCCTCCTGAAGAAGAAGATAATGGCGAAGAAATAGTTGTAGCTATGTATGATTTCCAAGCAACAGAAGCACATGACCTTAGATTAGAGAGAGGCCAAGAGTATATCATATTAGAAAAGAATGACATTCACTGGTGGCAAGCAAGAGACAAATACGGGTAAGTGCCCCTCACAATGTGAGATACACATTGCTGGGTGGGAAGAGAGTGCTGAGAAGAGAGTGATCTGTGTCTGTCCTATAGCCAGTCCAGGAGTGGGAGTCTTATTTTGCAGGCACACCATACTTTTCCAGCAGTGACTCAATGGATATAAATGAATCAACCACTTCTTCCCAGAAATCCGACTATACAACATTGCCTCTTTCTCATCTTCATATGTTTCACTGGATTCTTTTGACCTTGGAGAAATGACATTTTATGTTTTCCCCGAGTTAAGTAATTAATGTTAGACTTTTCTAATACAGAGATTGTGTGTGTCTGTGTGTGTATGTCTATAGAGTCACACACACATGCAGGAGATTAAAAGCACTATTTATATAAAAGGTAATTTAGGATTTAAAGGAAACAGTCCTTTCAACCTTATTACTGCTAAATAATGTGTATTTATGGATAAACATGAGTGTCATTTAGGTCATTCAGAAAGTAAGAAAAGATGAAGTATTTTTTAGGTCATTAGGAAAACTATTCTTACGTTTATCTCTGAAATATAATCCTGTTTATATTCTGATTCCCTGCGAACATTCTTTCACACCTCGCTTCTCCTTCCCTCATGCCGATTCTCTCCTCAGTTACTTCTGGAGGGGCCCTAGGAACCTCTGGCATGGGCAGGGTCTTTGTTCTCACTGCTCAGCAGTACCACACCTGCTGCGGGCTGCCTTGCTGCACCTTGTTAGTACCTTCTTGGGACCTCCCAACCTTGTATTCTGTGTTGTCACTGCTTCTCTTTGCCAAACAGTGAGGGCGACCTATTATTATTTTTGCTTATAGAGTTTCACACATCCACAGAAGTATGTCATAGTATAATGGAGCCTCCTATCACTTGACAAAAAATTACCAGCTTTTTGTCAATCTTGATTTACCAGTCCACCCAGTTGTCTTCTTCTAGAGTATTTATAAATAAATGCAAGTCAGCGTGTCATTTTTGCTCCTCATTCTAACTACAAGCAGCTATTTTAAAACAATTGCCATGGGGAGCCTCCTTGGTGGCCCAAGGGTTAAAGTCTCAGTGCTAGTCAGAAATTACCAGCCATTGTGGCTAGAGTTCAGTCCCCAGCCAGGGAGCTGACCCACATGGCTCAGCAGACCTCTCCTGTCTGCTCCCCTCAGCAGTGTATTTTAGTAGATCCACCTGTTCTTCTCTGTCTCTGTCTCTGGTCATTCCTCTCACTGCCCTACCACCAGCCTTGTTTGCATAAATAAATAAAATGAATCTTAAAAAAATAACAAAAACAAGGCCCTCCATAGTGGCGTAGCAGGTTAAAGCACAGCACTGAGAAGCTAAAATCACTTCCGCATGAGTTCGATTCCCGCCTGCCTCGGAGGTGACCACATGGTGTGGCAGACCTCTCCTGACCCACCCGCTGCTCCCCTCAGCAGTGTACTTCGTAGATCTGCCTGTTATGTACCCCACTCTGTCTCTGGTGAAGCCTCTCACTGCCCCTGAGCCTCTGGCCTGTACCCCAGCTCTGTATGCACAAATAAATAAATCTTAAAAAAAAATTAAAAAAAAAACAAAAACAAAAACACAATTTTCATATTATTAAACTTAAAAATAGGTCATCTGTAGGTTTTTCCCTAATATTTTTGGGGTTTAGAAGATTACAAATGAAATCCACATAGCATACATTTAAATATTTAGAAGTTGTAAGTCAAACTGACAGACATACGTAAAATATAATTTATCCTCCAACTTAACAAACATGCCTTGTGGGAAGTTAACTAGCCTTCCTTACAAGATTTGGCAATCTTATACTTCAGTTATTTTAGGAAGGCTATCACTTTTAAAATAACTTCTTAATAAATAATTTCAGTTTACCTGAAGTATTTTTCTAATTTCTAGGAGTGAAGGATATATCCCAAGTAACTATGTAACAGGAAAGAAATCAAACAACTTAGACCAATATGAGTAAGTAAATGGTTGTTTTGTGAATGTGGAAAATCAGGAAATGTTTTCATTTTCCTAATGATGTAAGGTATTTGGAGATTAATGGATATCTTTCCATTAATTATTGTGTATAGAAGGTGGTGCTAACATATTCTTTATTCAGTTTTTTAGTACGGTAAAACAGCTGTGAGAATTCGTTTGTATAATACCCTCTACCTAGCGTTACTGTGTGTGAGTGGAGTTACACAAACTAGCACAATTGATTTTATGATTTTTAAACAAGTCATAGTTTAGCTGAATTTTAAATACATATCACTCATTCAAGAAATTGAAATGCAGTTTTCCAGCACAGCCTTTAAAAGAATACATGTTTGATTGTTTCTTTAGTTTGACTATAATCACTATATATGATTTTTTTAAACTTGAAAAATATTAATAAAAAAATTACTGATAAATCAACTTAGCCTCAACATTAGTGTATTTCTTTTCAGTCTTTTTACTATTTTTGAAATATAATATCATGCTGTATATACTCTTTTATATCCTGCTTATTCTACTTCATAGAATACTACGAATATATTTCTTCATCCCATTAAATATTCTTGAAAAAATGTTTTCATCACTGCCTTGTCTTTCATTCAGTCACATATTATCAGATATTTCCTGAGCTCTTAGTATGTATCAGTCACTGTGCTAGAGGAATCAGCACGCATGTGGCAAATGGATGTATAATACTTCAGATAATTGTTTCCTCCTTGCATGACATTATGTTGCTTAGGTACCTTTGCTATGTAAAAGTACTAGGGGTAATCTCTTTCTGCTTATTGTCTTAAACAGGTCTCTAAAAATGTGTGTGGGGCAAGAGGCTGTGTAGGAACCTCTTTAGCGTCCTCATGTATACCTGGAATGTGCTGTTTGTATGCCCATGATAGCTGCGTGGACAGGTTTTAATAAGAAGCTCATATATACCAGATACTCTTTTGTGGTAATTCTGAGGCTGTATATTGCTGTTTGACCCACTTCCTTAAAAACCCACCACAACCAGTACCAACAAAAACCTGTTTCCTCTGTCTATGTCACTTCCTGTAATATGAGTTACCCTAGAAAAGGACTACTAGGTTCAAAGTGATCACACTCAGTGGTCTGATCTCTAAATTGTTTTGGAGATAGGTGAGGGCATAAAATACAGGTAAACAAAATAGTGTTTCTGTTCTTAAATAAATTGTAGGGAGATGTAACAAGATTTTGTTGGGAGAAGAGGAAATGCTAAAAGATAAGAACTTGGCCCATATTTTAAAGTGTGCTTAGAGCTAACTGATAACTTGGGGGTGGTGGGCTGTGGAAACCTCATCTAAATGTGGAACTCCCCATCATCACTCATGGAAATAGAAATAAGGAGTTTATAAAATTTATGATTCGGCCCTCCTTGGTGGCACAGCAGGTTGAAGCGCTGCACTGGGAGGCTAAAGCCAATTCTGCATGGGTTCGATCCCCGCCTGCCCCGGAGGTGACCACATGGCGTGGCAGACCTCTCCTGGCCCGCCCGCTGCTCCCCTCAGCAGTG